TATTTCTTATATGAGATATGAACAATATGTACAGGTAGATTTTTAATAAATTCATTGTACCTAATAAAGTCGATATATTTAATAATTCAAAATCATAGATACAAATATGAAATTTTGGAGCTCGATAGTCACACGTTGTACAAAGGCATTGAAAAGTTTTCATTGTCATGACACATAAGGCCACAAGGTTGCGCTGAACTCAGTATCTCGTGTGACCGCCCCGGGCAGCAATCACGGCTCTGCATCTCCTCACTGACTGGCTAAGTGTACGAATTCTGCACCATTCTGCTGGTAACTCGTTGGCCAGTTGTTGGAGTGTCTGGGGCATGTTCTGACGTTGACTTACACGTCCATCGAGTTCATCCCAGAGGTGTTCGATTGGGTTGAGATCTGGAGATCTCGACGGCCAGGGCCAGGGCCGGCTCTTGGACGGTTGCAGTGGAATTGAACTGTGTGTATCGGCCACAAAGGCGGCAAATGGTGCTGTGGTCGACGTTGAAGTGGCGTGTAACTGAAGACTGCGATTCCCCTCTTTGGATATGTCCTTTGGCGATGTTCCGATAGGCAGCGCTGAGTCTCGGCATTTTCGAACTTGAAAAAATGTTGACAATTGAATGACAACTTTTGGCTTATGCTTGCCTTTTTATGGCCACTACCACGAGTAACGAATGCCATAACTTGCAAGTACATTTTGCTTTACTGTTTTTCTCAATGACATGTCTTAACAAGTGTGAAAACAATGCCGTTTAAGGCACTGCAAATCAACAACAGCTGCGTTTTGACGCACCGTTTGTCGAATATCAGGCCACCAACATTTTCCAATAACATATATCCAATTTATATACCAGATTTTTTGTGTAGTCAGGTTCAAGGAACTACATACTACCTGTGCGTTTCTTTTTTTGAAGAGTGTAATGATGACTCCCTGAATACAATCCGACCTCCGCAATGTCGAACGATTCCATTTTATGATCAGGGTGTTAAGTTAAGTTTTTCTCAGATATTCTCACAACTTCCATGTCGATTATTTGTACATTTTCTCCCAATACAGATTGTCATATGCATTTATATGCGTTGCCGAGCTACATCTAAGGGGGAGAACTCACTGGACACTTCTCTTTCAAAAATAAGGTCGTCCAATTTACGACGTCGTCATATTGCGAGCGCTTGTTCTAATCTCCAGAAATGACGTCATGATAGAACAATGTTTTATCGTGAAATAAACCATGTTCGTTCTTAATTGTTCTTTGTGATTTATGGTGTAGCTGTGTTATATTATAAATACACAAGTATGTATTGAAGCACAAAATTCAATAAATCCACACTGTGCCTGGATCTGGAGTGCCCTTGCCTCAGACTGCCACCTCGTACTCAAATGTGTTGATGATCTACTGAACACCATTGTATCGGAAATCGCTACATACATCAATAGAGCGTCGCGTGTACAATAATCAATGTGCCTTCGTGTCTTATATTTGTTAAAGTCTTTGACTATATGGTGATATTAAAACAATAATGCCCACGTGGGGGGCTTGTACTTCTGTGAGCCTATAGAAATGAATTCAAGAGTACACAATAGGCATACGTACGCGTTAGAAACAAACAACTCATAAGACATTTTTACATTTAGTTTAGGAGGCCACGGGGCAGATGCACTGGTTGTGTAAGAATGTCAGTTGAACTCAAACACTCAACCCCCACCAACCCAATTCGAATTAAAAAATGAAAATGAAAAATGAAAAAGAAAATGCTTGCTTACAACTATCACATTTAGTTATACTTTACGACAGGACCCACCACAATGAGTTGAATTCCTATTGATGTTGCAAAATCGACATATCAATCAAAGTTGATGGAAAATCAGCAAGGATCCTAAACAACACTTATAACAGTTCTTATATGGTTGAAATGGTGCCGATGTGACGTTGCATTTTAACTCACTCACTCTCTCTATAATAACATATAAGAACTATAATAACACTCAGTGTTTGGATCTTGTTTTATTAAATGAGAAACTTTAATAATAACTTACGATTTTCCTATAATTTATGTATTTTTTTTGTTCACAGGTCCTTGGTGTGTCCCTGTTGGTCACCTTTGTCGGTAAGATATTTCCCTTCAAAAACATGTTTCCAATAATGGATTTTCCTCTCCGATCCGTGAGCCAGGAGACGCTAAAACGGCTGATGCTAAACTGATTGTCGAGTATATCCTACTGACATCTCGATAAGTATGCAAAGTCGCTGTCCCCGATGACCAGTTTATAACTGACAGAGAACGGAAGTCAACCGGTGTTCATGTGGTTTCCGATATCTTTTGTCGGTTCTTTCCGCGTCTGCGACGAAATGGAGTCATTTTATATGAGTAGCATGAGCAGTGCCACGTGATTGGCAGCATCCTGGCAGGGCCGCCTCCATGGTCTAGTGGTAGAGCGTCCGCCCGGAGAGCGGAAGGTCCGGGGTTCGATCCCCGGCCGCTTCATACCAAAAAGACGTTAAAAGATGGTACTTGTTGTTACCCTGTCTGGCGCTCGGCATTAAGGGACTAAAACAAGGACTGGTCGGTATAGTGTGTCTGCGTGAGGTACTCATGTTAAACTGCGGCATGGTATCTCAGTGAGCTAGCACATCAGTTCGGACTAGAACAAGCAGCCACACAGATACACACATACACATGCATGTACGACGCTGTATAAGTGCCATAATCCTGGACGCGACGTAAAACCTTATTTCACCTCACCTCACCCATCATGGCAGACTGGAACAACATTAACTCCCACAACTTCTTCTTTCAGGCTGTGCTGATTACACGGGTACAGAATTTGCTGTGATGTTCGCTGAAAAGGACGAATCCCATGACATTTCTAATTCAGAAATACTCTTGACAGTCAGTGGACCTACAAGCACTTTTGTCACAATTTCAGTACCCGGACATAACTTTGTGAGCTCACATACAATTGGTCATACTAAACAGTTGAATGTAACCTTACCTGCACACATTAAACACTGGAACAGTCTGATTATTGAACCTAATGGCATTAGAATCTCTGCCAATGACGCGGTGGCCGTCAGATGCATTAATAAATACACTGCTGTATCTCAAGGATACCTGGCGATACCTAAGCACGCTGCATCTACTAACTACCTAGCTGTATCCTACGACCCTGCTGGAAGAAATGCTTCATATATCCTGATAACAGCCTACAATAACGCCACCACTGTCAATGTGATCTTCAAAGTTCCAAGCCCAGGTAAATGTGTCAACATGGATGTTGAAGTTTCTACAGGCTACTCATTGACCTTCACCCTCAACAGCCTTGACGTATGGGGGGTGAGGTGCGACCAGGATTTGACCGGTACCTCGATTACAAGTTCCGCACCAGTCACAGTTGTTTCTGGTCTGGCCAGTTTGTTCTCTGTGTTGCCGTTTCTGGAGACGATGCTTCTACCGGTGGACCTCTATGGAAGCAATTATGTGTTGACCACTCACACAGCAGGCGCAATGTACAGAGTCGTTGCAGCGTCCAGTGACACATTGGTATCACTCGCGAGCAATATGAAGATGCTGCTTGGTGCTGGGGACTTTGTAGACATACCAAAAAGTAACGCCTTGTCGTGCATGACGACGAATAAGCCAGTACAAGTCGTTATGTTAGGAGTGGCGTCATTATTTGGTTCTCATACGCTTATTTCATCCCTGGCTGTTCCTATGATGATGCCAATACCACAAGTTCAACGTTTCCTGACTTCTTATCAGCTATACGTTGAAAGCTCTTCAAACATGACAACGGAACATTATATTACCTTGGTGGCTCCCAGCGATCACATCGACGTCCTTGCAGCTTCGATACAGTACCTTATGATAATGGTTAACGAAACCAGCCAGTGCTGCAATATGTCTCAAGTCATAGGCACTGTTGTAGATGGGACAACGGTAAATGTGTCCAGCAGTGTCCCGTTTATTATCATCTACAATGGCCTTGAACTTCAATCTGGAGCACTTCATGGCTACATCGGCGGAGCAAGTTTAGGTAAGAGGGTCCCGTGTGTTCTTTGGGGGACTGACACCGTGTGGAGATTTTAGAGTTTTGCCTATTTGGATTTGAAGGATTAGCCAAAAACGTGATAGTCAGTTCGAATCCCTGTTCGCCTGGACTATGTTTTTCGGTTTGTCAGAACCATATCCGTGCTCATGGATTGCACCAAAGTGGTAAAAGTATGAGGCCTGCATCACTTCGGTCTTCCCTCGTACACTGAGATGTTTACTGCTTCAGTATCATTGCTCATACTGACTGCTTCAGTATCATTGCTCGTGCTGACTGCTTTAATATCATTGCTCATATTGCCTGCTTTAATACCTTTGCTCATATTGCCTGCTTTTATACCATTGCTCATATTGCCTGCTTTTATACCATTGCTCATATTGCCTGCTTTTATACCATTGCTCATATTGCCTGCTTTTATACCATTGCTCATATGGCGTGCTTTAATATCATTGCTCATATTGTTGCTTTAATATCATTGCTAACATTGCCTGCTTTAATATCATTGCTCATATGGCGTGCTTTAATATCATTGCTCATATTACGTACTTTAATATATTTGCTCATATTGCCTGCTTTAACCTTGAGTCTGCTGAATTGTTTTAGAATAAAGCGCTGTAAAGAGGTTCCTGATAATTTCCTGATTTTTTCAATCACAACAAGGTTACAAAGCGAACACAATTTTTTTAAATTTTCGTGAACTTGCCTGAATTACGTAATTGAAGGTGGTTTATGTTTCATGTGAGGAGCCTTTTTAAATCGTTAAATTTGTGCAAACTGATTTCAATAATCATATCTCCGATAGCTTAATTTTAACTGAGTATAAATTCGATGTTTTCATTGGTAAATAACAGCGCGATAGTAAATTATCAACCATTTCAGTAAATTTACTTTCCAAACGTTAAACAGACCAAAAAAAACCAATTGTAGAGGCCATCATGTCAGTTGCAGAAATACAAACATTCGGGTTAATCTAACGTGTCACGTGATAAAATTTGCAGGAAACAATTAATAACTCGAAAATATTCACCAATCCTTATTTCAAGTGTTTGGGTTGAACATTTACGATATACGAAAATACAAATACCGTGTCATGATGCTAGCAGCCGTTCGAAAATCAAACGTGGCGCGCTTCGCCCGACCTCGGCATAACTTATTGCTATTTTAATATCAACAAAGCTTACATTGCCTTCATATATATGCCTTGGCGAAAGTTGACTATCTTCTCAATCGAAGAGTGTTTCATTTGTCATTTTCCGTTTGATATGACGAGAGAAAATCGCAAATAAAGATCGTGAATTCTGACAGCAATATTTCAGTAAGTGCAAAGGTCACCGGTTGTGACGTCATAGACAGGGGTGGTCTGCTGATGATCTTTCGTTACAAAACAATTACGGTCAATTTTGAGTGAGTGAGTGAGTGAGTGAGTTGGGTTAAACGCCGCTTTTAACAGTATGCCAGTTATATCGCGGCGTGTTAGCTTAATGTGGGAGGAAAGCCCCAAGTGATGCAGGTCTTAGACGTTTACCACTTCGGTGAAACCCACGAGCACGGGTATGGTGCTGACAAACCTAGAAACATAATTGGGGCGAACCGGGATTCGAACCCACAATCATAGGTTTCTGGCGTGCCCAAGGGACGCAACTCATGAAATTACAGGCGTATATTTTAATCCGTTTGACCTTGCATGCTCCCGTGACCCGGAAACGGTAGAAGATGAATCAACACGCCAAATGCAAGTTTCTCGGTATCTTTTATTTGAACTTTTGTTGATATATAAGGATCACCATTTAATGTTACTTTGAATATAAAGGGATATGATTCATGTATCTACGTTGTACACGCTGATGATTTTGTTTTCATTGTATTAATTGTGTCCTAGGCAATACGTCTATAGATATCGTCGATCGGCAATGATCACCCTCAAAACGTGTTTCAAAACAGCATTCATGCGATGCCGAATATGATAGGATATACGCAAGTGCGTGATGTATACTGAACAACAAAAGTTCCTGTGATATTGAATAAGATTCAAAGCAAAGTTATGTTTTTTACCAAATCTGAAAAATATCGGTTTGCAACAGATAAAAGACTCCTGTAAGTGTTCAAATGGTTTAATTTGCTATACTGACTTCAGAAAATGCGTGATTTCAATTTACAAATCAATAGCGGGTGTGTCCACCTCTGGTTGCGATGCAAGCAACACATCTTCGTCTCATGGAATGGACCAGGCGTCGCACAAAGTCCTGTGGGATATCTGTCCATATCTGCTGGAGCTTGTTTCGAAGTTCCTGGATTGTCTGTGGAACACGTGGTTGACGTCGAAGGCGCCGATCCATCTCATGCCATATGTGCTCGATTGGTGAGAGATCAGGGGAGCGTGCCGGCCAGGAGATGACATTCACGTTGCCGTCCCCGAACCGATCTTCTTCCATGACACAATGATTGACGTAACGTTCAACTCGACGTGACTTCTGGCGACAATCCCTGCACATCTGAGGCGACGACGTACGGTTTGTGAAGATATTCGTCGAAGGCCAAGGAGGCTTCTTGCAGTCACTGTTGCTGGCTGGAATCGATTTCGTAGGTGTGTTGTCTGGTTGATTATTGCCACTCCGAGGATGGTCTCTGACTGCATTCGTCTGCTGCCAACGTTGCCATAAACACCAAATGGTGTTTCTGTGGACGTTAAATTGTCTTGCAACATCACGTTGACTCGATCCTGCTTCAAGCATACCAATGTCATTATTTAAGTTTAGGATTCCTTAACAAATAGAAATAGATAAGATTCTTATGTACAAACACATACACAACTCATATGGCCATTAATCTTATGTATGAAGTGGTTTCTCCCAAACAAAACAATCCTTAAATATAATTGTTTTCTGATTATGATACAGGACCCGTGAAGATCCGGGGTCGAATAGGTCTTCAGCAACCCATGCTTGCCGTAAAAGGCGACTAACGGGATCGGGTTCAGGCTCGCTGACTTGGTTGATGCATGTCATCGATCCCAATTGCGTGGATCGATGCTCATGATATTAATCACTGGATTGTCTGGTCAAGATTCGATTATTTACAGACCGCCGTCATATAGCTTGAATATTGCTGAGTGCGGCGTAAAACAACCAACCAAACAACCAACCAACAGAACATGGGATTTTTGCTTGTTTATTCACAAGAACAAGCATGGCACTTAAGCTGGTGAGTTAACCATATATTTATAAAAAGAAAGTTATCTTTTGAAAAAGGATTTGGACACATATACGTCCAGTGACAATTCTTGCAGTTTTGTTCTCTTGGAGAAAGATACATGGAAATATCCTACCTTATGTATTTTTATAGGGTTCTCACCAATGAAATAATGTGTAATTCGTCTGGCAGGACTTTCCAGGTTTGTTGCAGTATGCTCAGGTGTGCAACAGTGACGCTCACACATGTCCCCTAAAGAAACATGAACCATTGTGAAATGTGATCAACAAGTTTTCGTCTATCAGTCAATGTGATGTACAAACATTCAAAATAAATGCAGATTATCACAAGCCTTGGATCTGACATCCTTGATCATTTGATGGGTTTCAGAATACCCAGTCAGTATAGGTCCTTCTCGTGTTCTATGTGTCTCAGCCTTCTGGGTGGAGTGAAATGAAATGTCCCTGTACACATGATTACCCTTGTCAGATTAATGTTATCCTGTCAGCCACACGCCCTGACTTTATGTCACCTTATGTGGTTTATTTTCGCATACATGTACTGCTGCAAACCTGTTTTCCCCTTGTATGCAATCACAGTATCCAACTTCATCAGTTGGTGTGTATAAAAATACCCTTGCCATCATTAAAGAAGAATTGCAATAAAAAAACACCTTTGTCTTCCCTTGAATAATCTTAGGCTTAGTGCTTGAAATTTTCAGTGTCATAAATTATGTTTTTTTAATTTTCATAAAGATTTTTGTCAAATAGACCAACGTAAAACCATCTGACAAGATAGAATTATAACTTAAAAAGCCCTCATTTATGAGGTGTCCATACTTTTTCTGCTTTTAGGACAAAACATGAGCCGTCTACCTGAGTTGTTTTACGTAAACAAAACTTTACTTGTTTTAAAATGTGAAAAAGAATTCCACTGATGAGAAATTTTTTTGTTATCCTATCGTTCCAGGAAATCAATTTGAAATGTTTTTTTTGTACGCAATATTGCTTTAGAGTTTTTGTACCCAGAATAATTTTATATTACAGTTTTGTAGTTTCAAAGATACAGATTACTTTTTGTATGAAAACGTAAATTTATTACCACCTTCTTGTCACATGACTACAATTAACTTACGGTTCAACAATTTACTTGCCTCTTCTTCAGAGACAAGAATTTATTACTTTCCTATCACAAATAATCAATATGAGTTGTGCCAATGTGGACTGACTACACTCAAGGACCACGTACAATTAGGTTAGTCATATTATGAACTTGATGACATGTTTTATCATAATGTTCAGCTCATTGTTTGCCATAAACATGATAAAAATCAATATAATCATACAGATTCAGTTTAGTTTTCTTGGGTACAAAATCACCAAGTACTTTTGGTACAAAATCACAAAGGCCCTACTTTCATCCAGTCGACGTGTACTTACTTTCATCCGTTCTGACAGTTGACGAAAAATAGTAAATTATGTATTTTATTTTGAATTTGAATGTCCGAAGGTTTATCAAACGAAATCATTCGCAAACTCTATATAGATAAGATATTTTTTACAAAGATTTATACATCCCTGTCAATAATTCTATAAAAGTAAGTTAGATGTAACAAAATTACATGTTACAACGTTACATGTGGAATTGTTTGTTTACCGCCGTTGCCATGATCCTACAAGTTCCATCCAATCGATGATGTTACGATTAAGATTCTTTTGTTTATAACTGATTACACTGACATTTGCTAATTTTTAGAAATTAAGGAACTTGAGTGTTTTGCTTTCGTCAGCAAACAAAAAAATTATGATCGAATATGAAAATTGATAAAATTATAAAGAAAATATCGGAC